GAGACCAGAGGGCCGACATCCACGAAAGGTCTAATAAAAGTGTCTGAGACAAAAAGGTGTCGGTCATTTGTTTACATCGTTTAATTGCGTTTATCAATTAACTGCATAGTCACGAATACGTAAAATGCATGCAAATATGTGTTTTCATTGGGGAAATACTCTAATCTACTGACGCAACACAGTAATGCATAATTACCTATAAAAGACATGAATATCAATGAAATTGTAAAGATAGCCTTTGCTGAAGCGCCAAGGCTATGATATCGCTACATAAGGAACATTGTAATTCGTAATTACACAAATAGAGAACAACTTATGATGAACATGGAAACACGCAAAATAGAAATATCGATGAACAATCATTAGTTTCCGTCCTTTTCTAAAGTTTTCACTAAATTAAAATCGTAAATCACAGCAGTCTGATCATGAATATCAAAGCTTGCATGATTTTATGGTTATTATTTTTATCTTTCATAAAGATGGACAAAATATGCCAGCGAAACTATGAACACCTCGGTATAAGATGTTGAAGAAGTTAGGAATAAATCTTTCATTTATGAGGAAAAGTTTTTTTGCTGATTTCTTGTAATATATTTGATATGTTGTAACATTAGCTATTTATAAATGGTAATGAAAACCCTTTGCATTTCTATACTATATATATATATATATATATATATATATATATATATATATATATATATATATATATATATATATATATATATATATATACTATATTAGTATAAAGATATTACAAGTTAGAGATGAAATTTTATGAGGGCTGGCTGGAGATATAAGTGAAACACACTGAACAGGATAAGCGGAAACACAGGTACCACTTGCCGGTTTATTGATGAAATAAATAAATAAATAAATAAATAAAAATAAAACATAAAAAATATCACTATGAAACACTTGTGTGATGAGGCCGCACGTCCAGCCTGCTCGGAGGGTCGAGGTGAACTGACTGAATTGGCGGTAAAATGGAGGGCGTGAAATACCGCCAGAGCTGGTGGCTCGTGATTGGCTGAACGTAAAAAAAAAAAGAAAGAAAAAAAGAAAAAGGGGGGGGGACAAACAAGGTACACACAAATAAACATAAAACACAGTAAGAGTTTAAAACACGGTAAAAAAAATAAATAAATAAATAAAAATACAGTAAACTAAAATACAAACAACTAGAAATTATATAGATGAAAGATACACTCATGGATCACTTCAGAGTTCACTAAATGTATATAACACACACACACACACACACACACACACACACACACACACACACACACACATATATATATATATATATATATATATATTATATATATATATATATATATATATATATATATATATATATAATGTATAAATGTAAATATATATAAATGTATGTATATACATGTACATATATATATATATGATATATATATATATATATGAATATACACAAATATGTAAATATGTGTATACATATCTATATATAGACATATAACATATATAGACATATACATATATATAGAGATAAATATGTATACATATATACATATTTATACACATTTAATATATATACAGATTTATATATATGTACACACGTACACATATAAATATATATTGATCCAACTCTCGCTTTTCCTCTTTCTTTCTTTAATTATTTACCATTTCTCCCTTTAACTTTCTCACTGTTGAAATTGGTCATAAACAGTGTCTCCAATGCCCTCCTTATTTACACTCAGGCTGAATGAAGTAGAATTCTCGCCACTGCTGCCTCATGCCATGACTGATTTTTGTTTGGAATGCGTATAGGAACACAACTCGTGACGTCACCGGAACTGATTCCCTGAGGTGGCGCTGCGGGTCGTTTTTCAGATCTAAATTAGGAAACGATGCATGCTATATATATATATATATATATATATATATATATATATATATATATATATATATATATATATAAACACTTCAAACTGCATAATTTTTACATAAAAAATAATCAATAAACGTTTCCTCTCGCTTTTCCTCTTTCTCTTTCTTTAATTATTTACCATTTTTCCTTTTCTCTTTCTCACTGTTTTAATTAGACATCAGCAGTGTCTCCAATGCCATATTTATTTACACTTTGGCTGAACTGAGCAGAATTCTCTGCTGCTGCATGCCATGCCTGATTTTCGTTTGTTATAGGAACACAACTCATGACGTCATCGGAACTAATTCCCTGAGACGACGCGTGTTTTGTTAAAATAAAATTAAATATATATATATATATATATATAATATAATATATTATCTATATAAAGCTTATTCTATAAACGTTTCCTCTGAGAGTAAATAACATGAACGAAGAAAAAAAAATGCAGTCAGAAGCAAATTTTGACATCGACAAAAACCGCACACCAGATTCAGCCTCACAGATTATAAGTCCAAGGGCCGAAGTAGAGATATTACGAAGGGATCGGTGTGTCCTCATGTTGAAGGGGGAGGAGGTGTAGGTGAGATAACTGGAATGGCATTAGGCTGTAGAAGTTTGTGATGCTTTGATCTTTGAAATACCATTAAAACGCGCATGGGTTATCAATTAACATCTTTATGTCCATATATATTTTTTAATTACAGAAACCAATCACTTTCCTTTCTCTAGGAAGGACAGAGAGAGAGGGAGAGAGAGAGAACTATAGACAAACAAAATGAGAGAGATATATAACTACAGGCAGAAAGAGAGATAGAGAGATAGCTACAGATAGCCAGAAAGAGAGAGAGAGACCTACAGACAGGCAGAGATAGATAGATAGAGAGATAAGTAAAGACAGACAGAGGGAGAGAGAGAGATCTATAGACAAACAGAGAGAGAGATATATAACTACAGACAGGCAGAAAGAGAGAGAGAGAGAGAGAGAGAGAGAGAGATACATATATCCAGAGAGAGAGGGAGGGAGAGAGGGAGAACTACAGACAGGCAAAGATAGATAGATAGAAAGATAAGTACAGATAGGCACAGAGAGAGAGAGAGAGCGCGAGAGCGACAGACAGAGGGAGATGGAAAGAGAGAAAGAGATAACAATAGACGGACAGAAAAAGAGAGAGAGCGTGAGAAAGGGGAGATAATAAAGACGGAGGAACAGAGAGAGAAGGATTGAGAGAGGCAGGACAAGGCGTGCGCTTAGGTTCCACCCAACACATGAACTGTGAGCCTCTTGACTTTAGTGGCTGGGAACATCGCCATGTTAAGAAGCAGATCAAACCGGTATTAACTTCTCTACGAATTCCACTGGAAAGCGTATGCGAAGCCGTTTACGCGAGACTGCAAAAAATCTGCGGCTATTTTCTGTCAGCTGACCCGTTGTAGGTGTAAAGTGTTGTAGGTATAAAGCTAAAAATAAGAAGGATCGGTAAATAAGGAAAACAAAAAAAATGAGACTCATATAATCTCATCTTCAAAGTGATGAGTCCTCGCACTCACAATTTATCTTACGAAGGAACAAGTGAACATAACCCTTTACCTTACATTAAATACCATATTCGTTCACAGAGAGATGTGGAATAAAGATAAAACGAGAGAATAAGTGAACAACCGATGAGACACCGACGAAAGAGAGCGCAAAGACAAAACTGAGTAAACATGAGTATTATGTAGGAGAACGAATGAATAAAGTGAATAAAGAACGAGACTAGATGAGTTAGATGAGTAAGTGAATAAGAGAAGGTAGAACCCAAGATGAGTAAGCCAAGATCAAATGGCAAATGAACCAAGATGAATAAACGGGTAAATCAACATGGGTGAACAAGCTGAGATGGGTAAGTGAATAACCATGAGCAAGCGAGTAGACCAAAATGAGTAAGTAGGCCAATATGCGTGAGTAAATTAATATACGTGACGATACCAAAATAAAAAGTGAGTAAGCCAATGCAACTGAGTAAAACAGCACGTGTGAGAAAACCAAAATGAGTAAGTTAACCTACACGAGTAAGCGACTAATCCAGAATGAGAAAACCAATATATATGAATGAATCAGTGAGTAAGTGAGTAAGCAAATAAGAAAAAAATAAGTAAAACACTATGAATAAATCAGTGAAGCAATTTGAGGAAGTGAGTACGCTTTCATGAGAGAGGAAATACCTATGAGTTTGTACACGAATATGAGGAAGTGAGTAAACCAACATAAGTGAGTAAAACGCGGCGATCTACTCTTATATAACCTGTCATAACAAGAAAATCGAGTTTTGCTTCGTGATCCATCGCCTTTTATTTTTTCCCTTTTATTCCTGCTTATAAAAATTGCTAATATATATATATATATATATATATATATATATATATATATATATATATATATATATTATATATATATATATATATATATATATATATATATATATAATATATATATATATATATATATATATATATATATATATATATACATATATATGTATATATACATATATACATATACACATATATACATATATATACATATAATATGTATATATATATATATATATATATATATATATATATATATACATGTATGTATATATGTATATACTCACATATATATATATATATATATATATATATATATATATATATATATATATATATATATATATATATATATTGTGTGTGTGTGTATAGATATATGACTGACTGAGTAAACCGTGAGTAAGCCAAGATGAATAAGTAAATAAAGGCAAGTAAGTGAGTACAGTGAACCCTCGTTTTTCGCGGGGGTTACGTTCCAAAAAGAACCCGTGATAGGCGAAATCCGTGAAGTAGTAACCTTATTTTTTTTTACAATTATTATACAATGAAATACTCTACAATACATTGAAACCAAAGAACAAAACTTTTTTACAGGCCCAAGCATTTGTTTAACAAATAAAAGTACTGTATAAACTTTTCACAAATAACTACTGTATTGTAAAATAATAATTTTGATCATCAATACGAACTGATGGCTTCATGGGTTTTAGAGAAACCTTAATTTTGGCAAGCTGTTGTACGTACATGTACGGTTATTGGCACACAGGTAGAGAAGAAGCGGAGAGACTGTTTGGCCAATCAGAATGCAGAACACAATGCACAATGTAAATCCGAGAACGTGAAAGGTGAACCGCGTTATAGCAAGGGTTCACTGTATAATATTACACTTGAGTCACTTTGAGAAAATTATATATTTATTTATCATACTGTATTCATTATTCTTGTATTTTAAAAGCGAAACCACAAAATAATTATTATACAAGAATCAGGAAATGAATAAGACAAGAAAAGTCCTGAGTTAGTAAAGGAGAGAGAGAGAGAGAAAGGGAGAAAGAGAGAAGAATGGAAAGTAGAAATGTAAAAATCACATATCTTTCCCTTCATTATCCTTCGTTCCTTCTCCCACTTCGTTCTCTTACTTCCTCGCTTTGACCTTGTCTTCTCTTATTCCTTTGTGTGTCTCTGCATCTGTTTTTTCCCTCCCTCTCTCTGTGTCTCTCTCCTCCCTGCCATTTTTCATATTTACATTTTCTCTATCTGCAATCTCTTTGACAATATTTCCCTTTAAATATGCTTTTTCTCTCTTTCTTTCTTTTCATTATAAATCACCTAATGTTTTTCCCTCCCGTTTAGCCTCAAAGAAACAGTGACGTCAAAATGAATTAACAGAAAACCGCAAACGATGTTGGAAACAGCAACAAGCAGTGGGAAAACCCCGGAGAGAGTGGGTTTGGCCTGCGAAGCCAGTGCAGGGGGAGGAGCCAAGGCGGGCGGACGGGTATATAAGGAAGATCGCAAGTCTTCCGGCACACAACTATCCCTCACATACACCATGAAGGTGAGTGCTTGCTTGGTGCTTTGAGACAGGCCGTGGAGGCTGTGGCGTGATTGCAGTTGCTTTTGTGTTGATTTGTTCAAAGGAAGAGAATCGTATGCATTTTCTTCTACTTGATTTTAGCCTTAGAGAATGCTGGTAGCATGACCTCAAGCTATTTCATCAAAAGTAGAATCTATGTACAAAGGGTCAGCTTAGTATCTTTCATATATATATGATATATATAGATAGATAGATAGAGAGAGAGAGAGAGAGAGAGATAGCTTAGAGATACCACGGAGCTCCATTTCCACCATATATGGCGTATATTGTATTATTATTTTCTTATTTTACAAGACATGAATTCTCTTTTTATGATGTTATTCTGAAGCAGACTTGCTAACAGAACCAGGGGCGGTATTCACGAAAGCTCATAGAGACTTTTTTTTAAACCATTTTAAAGACTTTTAACAACCTCTGGCTCCAGGTTCGTAGAATTTGTCTTTGACTTGGTTCGAAGACTTCTTAACGATTCCGTCTTTGACTCGACTTGTCACATTTCAAAGTAAATACTCAACTATATATTCTAAAAGACCCAATGATAATAATTCATAGTAATGATATAAAAATGGATATTTTAGTGAGCCTCAATTTTATAATACATATAAATTCACACTTCTAATATCTTTTGTATGTTTACGAGGAACCTTATTAGACAAACATTGGTTGTTAGATATTTTCATGAAGTGACTGACAAAGATGGAGTCACACTTTGTTTCTGCCATAAACGATTTCCTTTGGTGAATAGTCTCCGTTTCAGTAAATAGGTCTCTTATGATTTTTTTTTGTAAATTTCAAATTAGACCTTTGTATGAAAATGAAGAATTTTGACGAAATGTCTAAGTTTACATTTCTCATTTCATAGAAAACAAAACATTCCCTATTTCAATTTACTCTTTAGTTCAAAGTTCATGAATCTAGTATAAACACTAACGATGGATTGTCCTCATAAAAATGACGTTTAAATGAAGACAAAAGAAGGTCTGCGCTTCCAGACGCATGGCGAAGCCTCGTCTGCGTCACTCGCCCTTCCCCAACCTTTTTCTCTTTGCTGACTTGATCTCGTGATTCGCAGGGTCTCAGCGTTATCCTGTGCTGCGTTCTGGCGCTGGTGTCAGCCAATGGCAAGGGGAATCAGCAGGGGAACAAGAGATTCTTTCAAGGAGGTGGTTTCCCTGGGGGACATGGCGGTTTCCCCGGAGGGGTCGGTGGCGGTTTCCCCGGAGGGGTCGGTGGCGGTTTCCCCGGAGGGATCGGTGGCGGTTTCCCCGGAGGAGTCGGTGGCGGTTTCCCCGGAGGCTTCCCCAGCGCCACAGCCCCTCCCGCCACATGCAGGCGCTGGTGCCGAACTCCAGAGCAACAAGTCTATTGCTGCGAGTCCGCCTTTGAACCCGAGGCCCCCGTGGGCACCAAGCCCCTCGACTGCCCACAAGTCCGTCCCACCTGCCCACCCACACGCTTCGGTGGACAACCTGTAACCTGCTCCAGCGACTACAAGTGCGGCGGCCTGGACAAGTGCTGCTTCGACAGGTGTCTGGCAGAACACGTGTGCAAGCCCCCTTCCTTCTACAGCCAGTTCGGTTGAGAAGGAAAATTCACCGTACTGATTCATGTAATGTCCATGATTAATAAATGTTTTCTAAAA